CTTTCTTGATATTTCTTCCTCAGCAACTCAAGCTCCATGATGTCAGAAGCCTGATTGTGTTCCATTGGTTGTCTCTTCTTCGGAAGCCTGGACATCGCGCGACTGATGTCGCGGGGTGTGTGTTAGATTCCGTCTGTCGGAAAAAGCTTTCCGTGAGAATTTCCGACAGCTCGGTTGTCCGACTCAGTTCCCCCCCGGGATTGATCCACAAATTAATTGGAGCACATGGACACGCTCGTAACCAAAACTGTTCTGGAGCCAAAAAATTCCAAGCTACCGTCTGACACGTCTAGGAATAGTTTTTTTCGACTACGTCCCCCCACCTCAAAATAATAAAATTATTTTGCTGGTGGTCCCTCCTACGGTCCCTAGATCGGGACGGGTGATGCGGCAACTCTCGTGCCGATGTGGGATCGGTCGATGTGTCGAAATGCCGATTTCACCAAGTAGCGAACCTTGTTACTACCAGTAAGGCACCTGTTCCTAGTAGCGTGGCACTTGTTCCTAGTAGCGTGGCACCTGTTACTACCACAATTTCAAGATCTGAAAGTCGATTTCACAACCGCCGAGAATGCGAAGAGACAGAGCTAAGTGCAGCGTGTGCTCTGTTTGCCTCAAGGCGTTCGCGAGCCCACAGAGCCCCTTTTCGTTCGCCCCTTTTCGTTCGACAGAGCTGTTCGAGGAACTCGTTCGAGGGCCGAGAGGAATTCGAAAGAGTCTTGTTGCACTGAGCAGTGACGTTTCTTGCAGTGATAGCTTGGTGGCATTTCTATGACACTTAGTCCTCTTGATTGGAACCCATGTCGCGCGAGGTCACTGCGGAGAAATCCGAAGGTTTTTTCGCCCAGGCAAGCGGTGATATGGTGCTGCACGGCAGAAGACAGATCGCCAAAGTCAAACAGAAGAACGAAAACTGTTGTTTTGGTTGGAGGCCATCGCTATTAGTTAAGTTTCCCTAAATACCTAGGAACCAAATCATTAACGCGAGCTGTCCTGCGTCCAAGGTAGCTCAAGTAAGCTACTAGCGGCCTACAGAAAACGAAGCGAAAGCACTGTGAACGACCGAAAAAGAACAAACGCGAGGTTGGTATTGCAGCAGTCCAGCTGGACGAGGCACAAACGCGACACAACGCCGTGACAAACGCGACAAAGAGTACACAAAGGAAATACAATTGTGTCATTCAATAGACTAGATTCATACTTATCAACAGGACTTTCAGCAAGAAGGAGAAAGAAGCAAACGACGTGAACCAAATGTGAGAAGCGAGGGAAAGAGTAGCAACTCGACTCTACAATTACCTTTCATCCAAATCCAGGTCTATTTAGGGCGACTTAGGGTGTTTTGAGATAACGAGGTACTCGTCATGGCGTATATTGTGCAGTGCATTGTGCTGTTGCGACTGGTTTGGACTGGCTGCATTTGTGGTTTGGCTGATTGTGTGACTCTTTGACGGCTAGGTGGAGAACGCTCGCAGCGGCTATGGCAAGCTTTCAGCTCCGAGCTCGTTCGACCGCGACGCGCGAAAGCAGAGCTGTTGAAATTCTCAGTACCAAGTCGTTTCGGACTTAATCGACCGCCGCTTTTACACTTGGCCATTGCGACTTGGTCGTGTAAAATCATTCTGAAGACTTGTCATTGTCATTTTTTTTGTTATACATATTTAATATGTCATATGTCACATATTACGTGTCACGCCAGAGCCAAACCTTACGCAAGTGAGCCTCAGAGGTTCCGGCTGGTGGCCACGTGCATGGTTCTGACGGCGCAGCTGAATACGGTTCTCTTCATTTTCCGGTTGTTATGGTTCTCGTGGTGGTTTGTTGCCAGGTTGATTGGTTTGTTCGGTTTTGCTGCTAGGTTGTTTGACACGAGCCAGTCTAACATATTAAAATTGTTCCGCATGGGACATGAGGTCGTTCACTTGCCCTGAGCTTGCCGATCATATCGTTACGCGCTTCAGATGGCTCATTTGAAGCAGATGGCTTTGGTGGGTCGTACAATGTCGTACATATTTTTACATGTTTTCTTTGTACGCGTCACTTTTAGTCACGGCTTGAAGGACTTGATTGCGGTATATCAAGCTGTGTCAACGTTTCGCAAACTTCGTTAACGAAGGCGTCTTCGAGCTCGTCGTCTTCGGTGCTCTACACCACTTTGGGCGATCTCTTCGTAGAGGGCCTCGGTGCTGAGGCGGGGAAAAGACGCAAACTGAGATGAAGACCACTTGTTACTACTAGCGTGGCACCTGTTACTACTAGCATGGCACTTGTTTCTAATAGCAAACATTGTTACTACTAGTAAGGCACTTGTTACTACTAGCGTGGCACCTGTTACTACTAGCATGGCACTTGTTTCTAATAGCAAACATTGTTACTACTAGTAAGGCACTTGTTGCTACTAGCGTGGCACCTGTTACTACTAGCATGGCACTTGTTTCTAATAGCAAACGTTGTTACTACTAGTAAGGCACTTGTTACTACTAGC